AGGGTCAAGTGGGCAGATAGACTGACAATGAAACGCAGCATTAGGCTGCTACGACGCAGAATATGTTGTCACGGGTGAGTCATCACGCTGTGACAAGAAGTTCAGGTATACATTCAAAAGTTTGTTTTTCAAAGAGCTGCAATCTCTAAAGATCAGACAGGAGTGACAGTCTGCATTTAAAGACGACCTCTCCCGCCGCCGTGAGCAGACAGGGGATGTATGATATCGCAATCGGCCTTGATAACAAGCTTTGCAATCATTCACTTTCATCTCACTGTACACATCACTGGTTGAGATAAAAGATGTGGAGAACTGCTCCAATTACCATGGATGACTTTGTATTCACCTTTGGCTCTTAACTTTCTGTACAAGCTCCGACTGCGAGTGTGTGTGTGTGTGTGTGTGTGTGTGTGTGTGTGTGTGTGTGTTGCGGGGCGAGTTTGACATATGATGAAGGTATATAGCCCTCGTCTCCATTGGCTCTAAGAACTCTCATCCATCCATCTCCTTTATCCTCCTCCATTATACTTAACAGCTCTCCCTCCGTAATGGAAATGGTGCCCTCGCTGTTGCCTGCACACAAACATGCACAAGTTAGTGAGGTATAACAGGATAAAAGCAGATCTTTTTATGAACAAGTTGAACGTGAATATTAATATGTACCTTCAAAGGTGTAGAGAGCCGTGCAATGGCCAACGGGACTGTCTATGTCGTCAAACTCATTGTCAAGGTCCGTGTAGATGTCCTCAGACCGGTCATTTGCTACAACACTGAAAATGCACATTTAAAATTAAGATATGCAGTTTGAAATTTTGGGAAACATGCTTGTTGCTGAGAGTTAGATGAGATGATTAATCTTGTGTCTGTACAGTAAACATGAAGCTACAAATTAACAATGTATGCCTTTATATAATGTATGCCGACTGTGAGGAGTGACTGTTTTGAGTCACAGGTGTTTTGTTGAAAACATTACAGTGACAACAAGACACCGCTCCTCCTGGTGGGAGACGTGGATGTATTAAAGGAGATCTGCTCATCTAACTCTCTGCGAGAAAGCGACATATCAAATGTGAAACTATTCATTTGAAGACAGGCCTTACACATATTGTTTATTATTGTTGATGGTGTTTGAAGAGTCTTCTCCTCCCACTGCTTCTGACAGCCACGTCTGTAATGACCCACAGATAGTTTTAAAAAAACAAAACAAATACTTTACTACCATTTATCATTAACAAAGCTGTTTTGTGTGTGTGTGGCCTTGCTTTACAATACTTGCGCAGCCCAAAATCCATGAGTTACTATGTTTGTTGGGACCGGAGGCTGGTCCCCACAACATAGTTTGTCAAATCTTATTAAAATAATGGGGTATAAGGGTTAAGTATTA